GGTAGGTCTCGAACCCGCGGGCTCAGTCAATCCACTCACCTCAGCCTCCCAAAGGCGCGGATTACAGGCTGAGCCACCGAGCCCGGCTGGAAAAACATTTTAAAGGAAAACATTTAAGCCCTTGCCACAGTCACTTTGTCCCCATGATCTCTGCCTTCTTGTCCCTCGCAAATGCCACTGTATAGGAATCTGTTGCCTCCTTGTATGTTTCTGGACCAAATAGGTCTTTTAATTAGACCTGTATTTCACCCTCCTCCAACCTCCAACACACGCACATGTACACATACATGTCTATGAAAGTATCTGAGTTGTTATAACTGAGGTTTCTTAGGTCAGGCAGTATAAGGTTAAAAAGTGGACAGCTGGGCTCGGTGGCTCATCCTGTAATCCCGCACCTTTGGGAGGCCGAGGTGAGTGGATTGCCTGAGCCTGCGGGTTCGAGACCCTCCTGGGCAGCAAGACCTCATCTCAACCATAAATCAAAAACTCAGCCGGGCGTGGTAGCGCATGCCTGAAGTTCCAGCTACTTGGAAGGCTGAGGTGGAAGGATCGCCGGAGCCCAGCAGGTCGAGGCTGCGGTGGCCGGGAGCGGCCACTGTACTCCAGTCAGGGCGACAGAGTGAGACTCCGACTCAAAAAAAAAGTGGAGAAGGAGAAGGAAGGAGGCGGAAGTAGAACAGAGGAAAGAAAAAGGAGGGAAAAGCAGGGGGAAAGGGAATACAGTCTCCCCCCAGATCATGGATTCCTCGTGTTCCTCAAAAAAGGATACGTTTGAACATCAGTCCCCCAAAACAAGCAACCTACTTTTTCTAAATGTTTGTACTTACCATTTCCTGGTTGTCCGTAAACATCAGAAGATGTGAGTCTTTGGCTAAGCAGAATTCCATACTAGAATTCCAGCTCTTTTTCTCCGCTGAGATGTAATAGCAGTGGTTACCATATCTCATCCAGAGGTCTGGGCAGCTAGGACACCTGGCACAAGTAGGGTAATTGGAGCCTAGGAAAGAAGAGAACCTAGTACACATCTTGATCGCCCACTCAGTCTTGGAAATAAACTGGGAGATAAACATGAAATATGGCGGACCCAAGCCTTCCCTGACCCACTACCTTTCAGATGAAGGATTTAGTAAATGTATAACAATGCACAGTCTCAAACTGAATATCTCACGGTGTCCAACTCCATCACTACTGTGTCCATTGTACTAAGCAAGATGTGACAATGACTGAAGGAGCAGGAAAGAGAATGTGGTACAGTCTGCCTGAAAACTGTGGAGATCTTATGCTAGAGATTTCCATGATGTGTATCCGCATACTATCTGTACATGCTCAGTGCACACATTGTGTAACTGCATAAAGTATGTGGCTTAAATCATGCAGAGGCATTCAGAATGCCCAGCCTCAATCTGACATCCCATAATGGTGCATAATAAAAGGAAAGAAACTAGAAAAAGAAAACTTAATTCAAACAAAAGGTTTTGCTTTTTTTTTTTTTTTTTGAGCTGGAATTTCTCTCTATCGCCCAGGCTGGAGTGCAGTGGCACACTCACGGCCACCCGAGCCTCGACCTGCTGGGCTCCGGTGATCCTTCCACCTCAGCCTTCCAGGTAACCAGAACTACAGGCACATGCTACCACACCCAGCTAATTTTTTTTTTTTTTTATTGTAGAAGTGAGGTCTCGCCAAGTTGCCCAGGCTGGTTTCGAACCAACGGGCTCAAGGCAATCTACCCACCTCGGCCTCCAGTTTTGCCTTTTTATTATCACAAATGTGATTATCTATTACCACTAGACATTAAATAAAATACTTATATCCAGTAAAAAAAATTACCTTGGATATTTTTAAAAAGGTTTTCTAACAGAGAAGCATGTCAGATGCTAAAGTGAAAACTGAAAAAATTCTCCTGAGCTCTTTTAGATACAGATCTCATTTCTCTAAAATGGTTGGCTTCTAGTCTATCAAAATGAAAGAGAACTGAATAAGTTTTTGAGGTAATTCCAACCAAGATTCCATAGTTATATTGATTTTCTACTTCCATGAAACATATTTGCATACTCACTAACAGCACAATTCTATGGTGGGCAAGTAAGAGACATCATACCACATGAGTACATGTGCAGGGTGGATTATATATCTATCTGGATTTGGGAGTTAAAAAGTAGAGAAGGTAGTCCTTTCATATAAAGATTAGATAACTTTTCTGTGGGAAGGCCTGGTATGGGATTTGGAAATTGAGCTGTAAAGTTGGCACCTTATAGATTTGTGTGTTTTCCACACACCCGTGACATTACTCTGCCTGTATTAGAAACTCCCAACTTTGGCCAGGTGCCAGTGGCTCACACCTGTAATCACAGCACTTTGGGAGACTGAAGTGAGAGGATTGCTTCAGCCCAGACATTTGAGACCAGCCTGGTCAACATAGCAAGATCTCACCCGTACAAAAAAAAAACAGAAAAGAAAAATATTAGTTGGGAGGCTAAGGAGAAAGGATTGCCCGAGCCCAGGTGGTGGAGGTCAGCCTGGGTGACAGAGTGAGACTCCAACTCGAAAAGAAAAGAAAAGAAATTCCCAACTTCCTAGGAGTCTTTTTCTATCAAAGGTCAGCCTTAAATCTGAGGTAGAGATACTCGGGGTGAACTGTTAGAATTCTAGTGAATCAATTCTGTATAATCTTGTCATCAACTATTATTCCCTAATAACAAACCTAAGCTAGGGCTCTAGATTGTGAGACAATAAACTGAGAGCCCTCTGAATCACCAGATGTAAGGACCTAGAATAACTAAATAAAAATAGTTTTAGAAAATGTGAGAGCACCCAAAGGGCCAAAAAAAATCAGAAAAAATTAAATTATGAACTGTCTGTTATGTAAAACACTGGACCGGCATGGTAGCTCATGTCTGTAATCCCAGCACTTAGGGAGGCCAAGGTGGGAGGATTGCTTGAGCCCAAGAGTTTGAGACTCAGCCTAGGCAGCATAGCAAGACCCTGTCTCTACAAAAAAAAATTTTTACAAAGTTAAGCACCATGAATATTATTAATTATCACAATAAATAAAATATGGCAGTATAGTAAATTGTTTATGGCATAATATAAAATTAAAAGCAATATACAAAATGTATAAGAATACTATAATTAGAACTATTCCAAGCCTCGCTATAGAGAAGGGAAAAAAAGATAAGAGAGATTTTAAGAGGAATCGATTGTAGTTCTGTTAAAAATAAATAAATACTTACACAATCATGATTGTGTCAACGATTAGGAGGCAATAGCCAGGAAACAGTATATTGGTGGTGGGTGATTTATTGGTTTGGATTCTTTGTTATTTTTTACAGTTTCTGTTATGCTATATTGCTTTTATAATATAAAATGGATACAATGAAAAAATAATTTTGATTTAAGTTAGCACTTACCCTGGCACAGAATCCATTTATAAAGCAGAAAACTCATAAGAATTGCAGTCAGAAGACCCAAAGTTACTGTCACAAGGCAAGAAATAGAAGATCTGGAAGAAGAAGCTGCAACAACAGAATGCAAAGCAAAATTCTGAGTTAGAAGAAATGTTAAAAGAAAAGAGATGTTCAGGGAAGATTATCTGGGTTCTTAAAGCAATTTGGCCGAGGAGAAACTGAGATCCAGGCCATAAAGACTCCTTTTCTGGATCTGTCAAGGACTCACTCTGAAGTCTAAAAAAATCACTAACACTTGTATTAAGGAACATAATATATTTATCAATTTAAAGAATACTTTTTCTGCCAGGTGCGGTGGCTCACGCCTATAATCCCAGCACTTTGGGAGACCAAGGTGAGAGGATTGTCTGAGCCCACAAGTTCAAGACCAACCTGGTTGATTTGGCAAGACCTCATCTCTACAATAAATCAAAAAATTAGCCAGTCAGGTGTGGTGGCGTGTGCCTGTAGTTCCAGCTACTTGGAAGGTTGAGGTAAAAGGATCGCCTGAAACCGGGCTCGGTGGCTCAGCCTGTAATCCGCGCCTTTGGGAGGCTGAGGTGAGTGGATTGCGTGAGCGTGCGGGTTCGAGACCCGCGTGGGCAGCGAGACCTCATCTCTACAATAAATCAAAAAATCAGCCGGGCGTGGTAGCGCATGCCTGTGATTCCGGCTACTTGGAAGGCTGAGGCGGAAGGATCGCCGGAGCCCAACAGGTCGAGGTTGCGGTGGCCGGGAGCGGCCACTGCACTCCAGTCTGGGTGACAGAGTGAGACTCCAACTCAAAAAAAAAAAAAAGGATCGCCTGAGCCCAGCAGGTCAAAGCTGCAGTGGTTGTGAGCATGCCACTGCACTCCAGCCTGGGCAACAGAGTGAAATTCTGACTCAAAAGAAAAAAAATAAAAGAATACATTTTTCAAACAAAATAGACAATGGGGCTAAAGAGCTTTTGCACAGCAAAAAAAATAATAATAATAATAGACAATAAACAGACAACCTGCAGAATGAGAGAAAAAATTTGCAAGCTGTGCATTCAAAAAAACCCCTAATATCCAGAGTCTATAAGGAACTCAAATAACTCAACAAGAAAAAGAAAATAACCCTATTAAAAAGTGGGCAAAGAGCCGGGCGCGGGGGCTCAGCCTGTAATCCCGCGCCTTTGGGAGGCTGAGGTGAGTGGATTGCCTGAGCCGTGGGTTCGAGACTCGCCTGGGCAGAGAGACCTCATCTCTACAATAAATCAAAAAATCAGCCGGGCGTGGTAGCGCATGCCTGTAATTCCAGCTACTCGGAAGGCTGAGGCGGAAGGATCGCTGGAGCCCAGCAGGCGAGGCTGCGGTGGCCGGAAGCGGCCACTGCACTCTAGTCTGGGTGACCGAGTGAGACTCCAACTCAAAAAAAATAAAATAAAATAAAAAAATAAAAATAAAAAGTGGACAAAGGACATGAACAGACATTTCTCAAAAGAAGACATGCAAGTGGCTAACAAACACATAAAAAAATGCTTAACATCACTAATCAACAGAGAAATGCAAACTAAAACCATGATGAGATACCATCTCACACCAGTCAGAATGGCTATTATTACAAAGTCAAAAAACAAAAAAAAAAAGATGTTGGCATGGATGTGGAAAACAGGGAACACGTAAACACTGTTGGTGGGAACAGAAATTAGCACAACCTCTATGGAAAATGGTATGGAGATTTCTCTGGAATCAAAAAATAGAACTACCATTCAACCCAGCAATCCACTACTAGTTATCTACCCCCTAAAAAAGACTTTGTTATATCAAAAAGACACCTGCACTCAATTTATTTCAGCTCTGTTCACAGTAACAAAGTTATGGAATCAAATTAAGAGTCCATCAATGAATGACTGGATAAATGAATGACTGGATAAAGAAAATGTGGTATATATATATACAGCCATAAAAAAATGAAATTATGTATTTTGCAGCAACATGGATGAAGCTGGAGGCCTTTATCCTAAGTGAAATAACTCAATCCAAAAAATCAAAATACCACATGTTCTCACTTATAAATGGAAACTGAACAACGGGTAAACATGGAAATGAAGAGAGAAATAACAGACACTGGAGATTTCAAAGGGAAAAGTTTGGGAGAGTGGTGAGGAAAAATTATCTATTAGGTACAAAGTTCACTATTCAGGTGATGGGTGAAGCCCAAACCTCACCATTATGCAACATATCCATGTAGCAAACCTGCACAAGTACCCCTGAATCTATAAAAATAATAACAGAAAAATAAGAATACTTTTTTCCTTTGAGATTTTAGCTTACACACTCTCATACTTAGGTGGTGAGGATATAAATTGGTAAAAACCTCTTTGGAGGACAATTTGACAATATCTCCCAAAATATCAAAGGCATTATCTCTTTGACCCAGACATTTCTCAAAGAGAAATTTTTCTACAGATATTAACACATCTGCAAAATATATTTATAAGGCTATTAATGACAAAATATTTATAGGAGGAAAAAACTGAATACACCCTATCTATCAATTAAAAAAACCAATCAAATACACCTTGATATATCCATAAAGTGAATATACAGCTTCTAACAAAGGGATAAAGACATGCTGCCTTTTTTGGTTTTTTTTTACTGCTATAAAATAATTTTCAAGATCGTTAAGGAAAATAAACATTCTGCAAATATCTGCAAATATATCTGCAAACTCATCCAAGAATTTGATGGTGTTGTTTGCCTCTGGAGAGGGGAAATAGGTCATTAGGGACAAAAGAGGAGGAAGACTTTTTACCTTTTTCTTTTCTCTTTTTTTTTTTTTTTTTTTTTTTGGCACCTTTTGAATTTTGAGCCTTATGAATGTATTATTTATTCAAAATTTAAATAAAGTATAAAAAAATAAAATAACCTACATCTCAGAAGTGCTCTGTAAACTGTTGCTATCAGAGGAGCAATGAGTTTAGGTTGATATCATGTTTTAGGACAGGACACTACTTTGTATTAACTATGTTGCTTACAACCTATATCTAAGGTTGCTATTTTTTGCTTTGTTTTGTTTGAGTTGGAGTCTCACTTTGCCACCCAGGCTGGAGGGCAGTGGCACACTCCCAGCCACCACAGCTTTGACTTGCTGGGCTCAGGTGATCCTTCCTCCCTAGTCTTTCAAGTAGCTAGAACTACAGGCACACAACACCATGCCCAGCTAATTTTTTGATTTATTGTAGAGATGAGGTCTCACCAAGTTGCCTAGGCTGGTCTTGAACTCGTGGGCTCGGGCAATTCTCTCACCTCGACCTCCCAAAGTGCTGGGGTTATAGGTGTGAGCCACTGTGCCCGGCGCTATTTTTTATATTTGAAAAATGGAAGTAATTTCCCCAAACCTTTATTTTAAAATCATAGATGTCTTATAGTCTGATAGTATAGGAATTATGTATAATGAGCAAAAGCCTGTAATGTAATATATTTAGGTTCCAGTTTTGACACCTTTGTTTGGCAATCTTTAATTAGGAAATTAATTTTGTTTATTTGTGCTTCATTTCCTACCTAAATTTGAGACAAATTATTCTGTATATATGTGTGTATGTGTGTGTCTATGAAATATTCTGGACTTCTTAAAATAAATAAATACATAATGAGGTGCCTTAAAAGAGAGAATTCTGCATGATAAACATTTGAACTGAATAACCCCAAAACACTAGATTTCTAGTGACAAAAAAATTTTTCACCATAGAAGAATGTTTAATGAAATAGACAAATGTTCATTTTTTTATGCTAAATGAAAAATGATATCAAAACAAAATTGTATTTGTGTAATTACCACCCAATTCAAAAGAGTAAAAATTTTTTGAATTTATTTTAAATATATACATATTAAAAGACTCTTAATAGTCCAAACTATCAAGTTTCAACTTATCAGTTGTGTGATCTGAAAGTTATACTTTAAGATGCATATTCCTTTTAATTTAATATTTCTGTTCTTTAGAAACCAGCACAAGTATAATCCAAAAGAGGGAAAAAATACAAAAAGTCCAATGTTGTATAATTTTAGCAATAGAAATAAGTCTAAATGCCCAAGTATGTTGCAATGATCTAGCAAATTAAGGCAATACTTTCAAAGGACAACATTTAAAACTAAAATAATAAAACTAAGCAACACAAAGAGAGAAAGCTTGTGATGCTACACTAAAGAATATGCCTTCTTGGAGTTGATTGCCAAAGAAGTAAAATCAAATATTAATTTTGGCATTTACCCTACTATCTGTCTCAGATAGTGTCCTCTCAGGGTTGTACATAAAAAATGATTCTTTTGTCCTCAAGTCACCAGACTCACAGGGACTGCTTGTCTGTAGTGTTCTCGATACCTTTTTTCCTCATCACCATTCTAGTGCAATGCTGTGAGATTTTTTAAAAAGCTAGCTATGTGAGTTAATCTCCTTCCTGATAAAAACCTTATTATTACCCACTAGCAAAATTATGGGTGTCCTCCTTATTTCATAGTCAGATAAATAGCAATACCTAAAATGTAAACAACTAGTTTAAGGTTGCTCCAAAAAAAAAGACTAAAAAGATAAAGTTCTCCAACAAAGTTCTTGCTGTAATCCAGGAGCAAGAAAGATAACAGTATTGTCCTAGTTTGGATTTCTTAGATGGGGTCATAGAAGTGAAGTTAGAAAAAGAATTTATCTGAGGCCTAAAATCAGATTCTACACCAGACACCAAAGTTTAACATTCCAACCCTGGACTTCAAACTGAACCGAAAAGTATTCTCTCAAATTATCCTCAGTTTTTCTGTGCCCTTCACTGCAAACATCTGCTACTCCTCATCCTTAGCCTACAGTCACTGTAACTTGGTTAACTCACCTTTTTGCTGAGGTCTGTAGTCATTCCGGGCTCGAGTTGCTGTGGACAACTCTAACATGGAATAAATAACACTGTCTCTCATCTCCATCTGATATCTTTTACATTCAGTTGAGAGAGTTAAGTTATAAAAGTGTGAAGAGACATATGTCAGTGGGGAAACAGTCCAATCTCTAAACTGCTAGCAGGAAACTTGACAAAAGCAGAAGTAACTTTTCAGGAAATGATTCAAATTCTGGGGCTGCCTATAGAAATTAATAGTCTGAATTGTTCATTTTTTTGCCCCAACATACTCTCTAGAGGCTCATTAAATACATGTTAAATTGATTTCCCCTTCTCACCTAATTCTGTTGAGCAAGGAAATATTGCTCTCAAGTCCAGCAATTGCAATTGTGGAAACTAGAATAAAAAATGAGAGTAGTCCCTAGCTATGAATTTATCTCAAATTTTTTCTCGGCTTTGTTTTCTTCTGAAAAAAAAAATAGGTATATGCCAAATAGGACTGGTTTCATTATTTCTTGGAACTTTTGGGGTAGTGATAGGCAATAAGGGAATAGACTATTGGCTGCATAAGCCTGGAATCATGGGAGAAATGGACTATTGCCCAGAGAAATGTTTTGAGAATGTGACATACACATGTCTTCTCCAAATCATTCCCCCAATTGTGCTCTAATCTTTTTTTTTTTTTTTTTTTT